TTTTTTTTTTTTTTTTTCTTTTTGTATCTTTTCTTTTCTTATTTTTTTTTCTCTAAATTTTGTTTTTCCCATGTATAGACTCTGGTGAAGGTGCTGCGAAGATATTCTGGGAATGTTGCAGATTCGGGTTCTGAGAAATGTTACCACGCAGTTACGTAACAGGGCCGTAGCCTGCGGGGGGGGGGGACAAGGTGGCAGCTGCATGTCCCCCTTAGATTTTGGAGCAAAATTAAAATTAAAAAAATTTCTACTAAAAGATTGCCATAGTCAGAATAAAGGTTGTACATGTACTCAAAAGTGCCTCAAATACCATCTCCTGTGATCTACATTTTCAAAACTTTTCTGGGGAGGACCCCCAGATCCCCCTCCCCCCACCTATTTCTCACCCCTTCCTTGAAATCCTGGATCCGTCACTGCTGCTGAGGCTCATAGGGTCTCAAACTGCATGCAGTGCCTCTTCGCTCACTCAGGATAATACCACTGCCACAATGCTAGCACTATTTTTAAAGTGGGCGGAGCTTGGGAGAAATCCAGCAAATGAAGATTCGTAAACAGCGTATGATTTGAAAGAGGTAAATGGGCGCACAATCCGCGCACTATTTCGTATCACTATATTTTATTAAATTTTGTATGAAATAATGGTCCAACTTTTATTATCTTTGCAGCTTTTATAAGTACACACCGTATTACATAGGACAGGAGTAACGGAGTTGCTGTAAAACTTATAGTAAAAAAGCGTAAGAAATTCTTACGGATATCAGCTTGTGGCAGTGGTAGAATTAAGCCAGAGCGAGAGCGCCATCTGTCGTAGAGTTTGATAGGGTCTATGTCCCCCAGGGTACTGCCGAAGCGTACCCTGGTAACTATCTGATATGGTTAGGGTTAGGGTTAGGGTTAGGGTTAGGGTTAGGGTTAGGGAGTAGGAATAGGCGACTCCCTAGACTCGTTAGTGGAGTAGGCGAGGTACGGTTTGGCATATTAGATAGTACCAACAGAGCATATAAATTACGTTGATTTATATGCTCTGGTACCAGGGTACGTTCCGGCAGTACCCTGGGGATATAGACCCTCTCAGCGCCGCTAGGCATTTGCTCAACCTACGGCCTGAACGTATCTTGTATAACGTGCTCTGGTTGTACAAACGACCTTATATACGTACTAGTAATAGTGTATAGGGTCTTTGGTTATTCCATAGACAAACAATTTGTTTTTTTATATATCTATATAAGTATGAATATAATACAATTCGGTGCGGCATGGTGAGAATTAATGTGACAACAAATGCAGCATATATTATATGCCGCATATCCTTTATCATTACTATGACTGCTATAAGTAATGACTTTAACTTCATGTAATTCCCAAAATGTGTAAAATTATTATGTCTATGTATTAATATCAAGAGTAGATAATAACACATGTGTTATTATCTACTCTTAATTAATATGGTGTAATCATATGGTGTTTAATTATTTTCTATACATTTTTGTTTTTTTTGGAGCGTTACATTGCGTTTATACCAACTATACCGTGCACACGCACGTTAATAATTCTTTGCTACAAGCACAATTACAGAAAATTGCATTCGTAAAATGTCGTTCAAACTAGCTATAACTAAATAAGAACCCTGTCTCTTTGTTAAGTCCACTGTCTTGGAATTAGTTGCGGTCACCAATGATCACGTGTTCACCAGAGACGGCTGACTGTTGGTGTCGTGGCTTGCCCTTGCTGCGGCAGACATTCTCCATATGATGGAACTTGTCACAGTCTCCACATATCTGTTCATAGGCTGTACACTACGTATTGCGGATATGAACTGGGGCGCTCCGTCCGTGTCTCTTCTTACCGCAGTAGGTGCATGCTTCTTGCTTCTCCTTGATATGTGTCTGTCTGGTTTTAAGATAGGAGCTGCTGGCTGCTTCCACCGCGTGTGAGTCCAGGAGGGAGGAGGCAGAGTGTTTCCCGGCCTCTTTTGCCTCAATAAACTGGAAGACATATTTCAAGCCCATGTCCTGGTTCTTGTCTCCTAAAAGATCAAGCTGGATTTCAGAGTCAGCAATTCCCCTGGTAAGCACATCCCGCATTATTGCGTCGGTGTAGTTGACATCGGCAGCGCAGGCAGGGCATTCAATAATGAATTTGCAGATGTCTGCTTAACCCCGCAGACGGGCTCCAAAGCTGCGAACTGTCTTATCTCTGTCTTGACGCATTTTGTGGAGTGTCACCCGAGCAACCATTGTGTTTTCCTCGCGCACGGCAAACTTTTTAATGGATGATAGTACCTCATCCTCAGTTTTGTTGGTGAGGCTGCCACCAGCAGCTCTTGTGAGATCCTTGCGTAGAAGTTTATTGCAGCATTCCAGGAGCTTTGCAACCTTGTCCTTCCCGGTGATCTTGGTGGCATCAGCGTAGTCAGACCACCGTGACTTGAAGTACGCCCATTCCTCGCTAGTGCCAGCAGCAGCAATCGTTGGTCTCTTGACCTTCTCGACCTTGGCAGCTTGTCCATATGTGTGAATTGTCCTGTGGGCAGTGAGGAGTGCGGCAACGATAGCAGCGTTGAGGTCTAGTGTCTTGTAGTCGCAGCCAGGGATTGTGCAGTTAACAGCAGGCATCTTGGTAGGTCTACCGTGATCACAAATAAGGACCCTGTCTCTTTGTTAAGTGCGCTGTCTTGGAATTAGTTGTGGTCAACAATGATCACGGTCTGCACATGGAACAAAAGAATGGGTACATAGTATCGTTACAATCCTCTAATAACTACAAGTTAATAAATAAAAAATAATAATATGCGATGCTTTTATACTCTTGTGGCTCGTGACTCAATGATTTACGATTGTGCACATTGTGGCCCGTATTATGTTGCGTTACCAGTTGTTGGTCGGCGCTATAGTGTTGGTGCTATAAGATAAATGAAAAGGCTCGAATCACAGTGAGCACCCCAGTACGGAACTCCGATAGTTTCACTATTAGCAAAGTAGTAAGACAAGGAACAGTATTAATTGGGTCCAATTATATGCTGTACCACCCTGGACCAAATAAACAGTGGAGGATATGACTCCCTAGTAGAGGTATATCAAAGTACCATAGAAATACCACCGCTGTTATATATGGATGATCTACTGGGAATGGAAAACATAAACATGGTACAGAAAATAGCACATTTATGCAACTTATTTGCAACAGAAAAAATGATAACATTCAATATGGACAATACAACTATAATGAATATTAACTTTTCGCCTCATAGAAACATTAGTACTGAAAAAGAAGACAAAATTTATTTGAGTAGAACAGAGTTAAAACATTGTACTAAATATAAATAGCTAGAAAATATTTTTAATAACAACGGTGACTACATAGATATGATAAAGGAGAGAATAGACAGAGGCAGGTATATGATGGGGGAGGTCCTAACAATTAATGACTAAATCAAACCAATTAGGCAATTTCACAGTAGAAGCTAGAGTAAAATTATATGAGTGCACGATACTCCCATCTATAGTAAAACTTGGACAAATCATAGATATACAGGGAATCTAATGGAGCGTTAGCTTGAATATGGGGATATAAATAAAGGGGAGTTCATTGAAGACTGGAAATGGGCTAACGCTCGACTGGAGTGTTCCCAACTTTGATATCATTAATGATTAATGATTAATGATTGATAATCCTATCCCTACCCCTAACCCTAACCCTAATTATTATTATTATTATTGTGTTATTATGACCATTAATGACATTAAAGTTGGGAACACTCCTAATGGAGTATCACCCTGGAAAGGCGACGATCCCAAGTTTATTATTGCTTCCGATTCCGACCACGTGAGGAAATTACTAAAATATAGGGATCAAAGAATAAGATTAGCAGAACTAAATGCTGGAGGTACAAATCAATGAAAATGATGAGATGAAAGTTCACATTCCCAGAATATCCTCGCATCTTCACCAGAAGTGATGCCTTGGGAAATACAAGGGTGGGACAATATACGATACGATACGATACGATACTATATACGATATACGATACGATACGATACGATATACGATACGATACGATATACGATACAGCGGCACACAATATCGTTAGACTGGTACTCGCTCCCACCTCGATTACTCGATGGGAAAAGTGAAACCTAAGTACCTAATGGTGGGATACCTAAGCCGAAAGGTGGTACCGGGTACCAGTCTAACAATATCGTCTGGAGCGATTTCTATGGTTAGCCAAAGATTAGATATAGAATGAAGAGTTATCTTGCTTCTTAAGTTCTTATCTTACTTATCTCTCTTATCTATTTATCTTGCTTTTATATCGGATCATTCAAAGCTGAACAGGCGTTGATCTCTCCTAATTTTTTTACGGTTCGACTTTATCAGTAAAAGTTTGTTATCACACATGTCATGATAAAGATAAGTAGGGTACGTCACAAGTGACAATACTGACTACGAGTACTGTCAATAGTCAATACTATTACTACTACTAGTGGCAGTGCATACGTGTTTCACACTTCAGTCTAGATACGAGGATGGATGGGTATACGTATAACCCTAACCACGGAATTTACTTCGTGTTGGGTTCCGTGATATTTTTTATATTAGTTCACAAAAGTTGGATTGTTTGCGTGCCAAAGACTGTTGGCACTGCGGGGACATATCAGGTGTGGCGATATAAAAACATAGCAACTTCGTGGACGCATGCCATTATCGCTGGAACTTGGACCTTGTCATGGTATGTTAATTACTGTTGTTAGGAACTTAGTGTTATGCTTTCTAGTAATTTTAGGAATACTCGTATTGCTACAGACTATTACTATTAGTATTACTATTAGACTATCTTAAATCACTTTTTCAGGTTTAATTAATATGCTCCTAGTCTTAGTACTGCTGAGAGGGTCTATGTCCCCCGGGGTATACTGCCGGAACGTACCCTGGGTACGCGTCCGGTATAGTACGAGCAAACCGGATTAACGTACCCTGGTACTATCTAATATGCCGGACCGACCTCGCCTACTCCACTAACCGAGTCTAGGGATCGCCTACGCCTACTACCTAACCCTAACCTGAACCCGAACCCTAACCCTAACCCTATAACCCTAATCCTAACCCTAACCTGTACGTAGTACGTGGTTCACCCAGCAACAGCTAGGTTCCCTTTGTGGAGGAAAAGACTGGTATAGGTTACCTCGGCGCTAGTCTAGAAGACATGACTCATTGTGTATTGTATTCAGGGTTTCCTTCCCTAGCTTACGTTGGCGCAAACAGGGGCGCGCACGAAAAAACTCCCCTGTTTCAATCGTTTCTGCGCGCCGTTTAAATTACCTCTCCGCCCCGATTAACTTCCACCCAGCAATAAAAGTTTGTCAGCGAGGGAATCGATCGTCAAAGAAATCCCAGGTGGGTTATTCGAGACCAGGACAGCCATCGGCGCGTACGTATTTTTACCTGTCGCCACGCATGCACTGCACTAGAGACAATACACAAGTAGCAAAACAGTCAACCTGTCCCACACCCCACAACGACGTCGGCTTATCTTAATAGTATTATACCAAGAACCCCAAATACCGTCTATGGTGTGGTGACGATTGTTAACGGCACTTACATAAGTGGTAACGGTAAAGAAACACGCCCCCTGGAACCCCCCCTATTCCCCTCCCCCTCCCCTCCCCTTCCCCTCACCATCCCACTGCAAGGGTCTCCCCAGCGATGAAATTCAAACAAGGGGGGAGGGAGAGCGGCTAGGGGGGAGGGGGAGGGGGGAGGGGGAAAGGGAAACTAGGAGGAGGGGGAGGGGGAAACTGGGGGGTCCGGGGGCGTGTATTTTTAACCCGTAGCGACGTAATTAATGCCGATAAAATCGCCACCACACCATAGACGGTATTTGGGGTTCTTGTATATATAAGATAGCCGAGTGGGTGTACAGTTAGTTACAGGTTAACTGTGCATTGTCTGGTTAACTTGTGTACTGTCTGCAGTGCATGCGTGGTACGGTAAAAATACACGCGTCGGATGTCCTGGTCGAACGGCAATTCTTGACTATCGATTCCCGCACTGGCAAACTTTTATTGTTGTGGAATTTAAACGGGGCGGAGGTAATTCAAACGGGGCGCAACGATTCAAACAGGGGGGAGTTTTCCCAAACGGGGCGCGCGCGCCCCGTTTGCGCAACGTAGGGAGAACCCTGCCCTGTTGGAATTTCATCCTTGGGAGAACCCTGGTATTGTAGACATGAAGTATTGTGGAACATGTCTTCTAGACTAGGGCCGGTTACCTTTACCTGTGCCCCTTCCTTCCCAGCTACAGTGCATGTATCCCATGTAGCAGGAACACTCTGACTGCACATGTATCTATAGAATGTATCAATATCAATATACATCAAGTATATATCAATATCAATAGAATTCTATAGATATGTTGTCCTCGATCATTGCCATATCTTGATCCATGTATGGCAAAACTATGTACCAGGCGCGCATATATCCCCTCGGTAACTGTTACCGTGTGCATACACCACTAGTCAGCACATCCTCATAGCATCGCATGCTAGCGTAGCCTGCAGGGTTCTCCCCAGGCCTTTAAAGCAATTGAGGATATCACCTGTTTTTTCAACCGTTTTAATATGTTCTTGGCTGTTATGATACTTACCGGTAATCCTTGCATAACACAAAGTTGATACAGTATGGCTAACATATCTTAGAACACTCACACATCATTATTTTCACTAATATGTGCACCGATCTGCATTTTGAAGCACCTATTACTATAACAGCACAAACCTGTTATTTTTGTCTATATGTCGAGATGAGGTACCAGTCTCAAAAAATATACATCACATAAACATGGGTATGTGTTCTGTTGCAGCAGTTTAATATTTCATTTTCACAAAATATCAGAGGAATGCAGGCAGAAGTTTGCTGTTAAATTGCTGTTTTATAGCCTATAACATCACAGATTTGTGGTAATTTTTATGCTGTAGTAATCAGTAATATGTCTGTCAAAAGGTATAGGACCTAATTTGTATACTTGTATTAATTTTTGGATTTATTTGAAACACAACAACATGTTGGTCTGACATCCTTTCAAAGCTAAAGCTAATTTACGACATCCCATAAGTCAACCCACCTGCCTCAATTGCCTAATTGATATGCCTTAATTTCTAACTGTCTTTACTTTTGACAATCCCAACACAGTCATTCTGTGTTTTCACAACTTGATGTGTATGGATCCGTAATGATCGAGTTTACCTATGTTGTATTGGGGCCGCGTATGACACACATAATTGACACCAATCGGTACAACCCCCCCCTCCCCCATTCATCCATAAACGACATTCCTTCTGACATTCCTGGGAGAGAATCCTTGCTTGGCATTTGTTAAATGGGTTGCAGTCTCCAGTAACCTCAAGTTCGTTAAATTATATTTATATCTCGTTTCCTTTCGAACATGATATATGATTTATGTTTTGTTTCGTTTTGGTTCTTTTAGTTTCTTCAGCGATCCCAAACTTGCAGAAGATTTGATTGCAAGGTGGTCACCTTCATCGCATCTCCTAGTTTGCTTTTCTATCGGTAATTGTGTTGTAATTACAGTTGTGATGCCACAATCTTATACGCATACAGATTTCTACTTATTTGATTGTTCATTTTATTTTGTTTGCTCATTTACGTAATTATCAGTGCACACATTACGAACATATGTACTTTGATAAAATATTCAACTAAATAACTACAAAGGATAAATACTTAAAAGGTATAGCAATCACAGTTATTTACATTGTTGTCCTACATTGCCAACATATAGAGTGGTAACAATGGTGTGAGAATAGTTTGCCATTATTGTTTTTTGCATCTCAGGTTACTTCATCCACGATGGACTGGACATGCTCATAAACCGTAGGAAGAGAGAGACGTGGGAGCTACTGGGTCATCATGTCATAGTATGTGTTTATGCACAGTACTTAGCAGATTTCATATGTGATGTATTCCAGTACGAGTATCGTGAAACAGAGCGTGTTATTTAAACGTGGTGGTGGTGGGGGGGGCGTAAGAGATGAAACATGCTCTGTCAGCAAATTGGAAAGAAGTGCCGATGATAGTAGAACACAGTTCGATTATGTGATAGTAACAGACTAACAGTGTCAGTGATAGTAGGGGCGATATTGTTTGATCATATTCATGTTGTGTGGGTTGGTATGCAATAACAGTAGTAAGTAAACTTTCCCTATATAAAGGTCTTATTCGGCAGATTTATGCAAACAGAGTCAATGTACCAGTTTGAACAACATGGAGGTATCTTTAGTGTGGAATTGGGCGTGTGGCGTGTAATTGGTAGCTTAGTTCCGTATCCATGTTGATGTTGTCTTTGCAACGGGTCGTGTCCTTGAGCATGGTATTTCATTCTTATCGCTGGCGGAGCGGTAGCGTGAAGGATAAGGGGGGAGGGGTGTACTGCACACTGGCATTAGTCCTTGATGCATATGAAACTCACGATCTTTGTGCACATGTATCCAAAACTATCATACTTAGTGATGGATGGGTGGATTTTAGAAACAAATACTCCAGCTGCCTATCGGGGCTGTCTTTTCGCCTTCAATCAGACGTAACCTATAGTCGAGTTGAAGGTGAGCTGTAGAAATTCCGGTTTAGAAGTTATAGTTCACACCTCTCAGGGTGCAAAATTAACGGAAGTCCAGAGTCAAATACTCCCTGATTTATTGCCGGACTCCCTGGTTTGACATATGCAAGAGTCCGTATGACTCCATGAAAATTCTGCCACACTAACTAGTTAATTCCTGAGCATGGCCTCGCAGAATTACCTGTATTTTTTCAGCCAAGAAAATTTGGCAGACGTGCAACCATATGAATCTTCAAAATAAGCACATGTATGCGTTATTGTTTAAAATATCTTTAATTTTGAACTTCAGACTGCGGACTCCCTCATGTTGCCGCAGACTCCCTCTTTTTGAGGGCAGGGAGTTCTTTGGACTCCCTTGTTCAAAAGTTAATTTCTACCCCTGCCTCTTATACATTCTACAGAATAAAGGTTGTAGTATTTTTCTTACCTTTTATATTTTATAATAGTATGTTTTTAGCTCATCTGACATAGTCAGATGCAGCTTGTAGAATCGCATGATCGTCCGTCCGTGCGTCCCGTCAACGAGTTGGCGCCACAAATCGTTAACCGCTCGACGTAGTCGGTCAAGATATGGTTGGGACGTGGGTGGGGGGGGGGGTAATCCGAAACGATGTTGGGAGAATCGAAAGCTGGGGGTCAAAGTCAAGGTCAAGAGTGTGTGAAAAATAAGGGGGAACAATTCAGCTCTTATTAAGGTATAATGGAGGAAATGCACGAATTGCGGCACAAATCTAAGACGGCTGACCCTAGGCTCGTGATAGTCGGTGCTATAGCATCACAGGAAAAGCGCAATCACTGTGCCGAAATTTGGAGGTCACAGGTCAAAGGTTCAAAATGCGCACAGGGCAGATTTTAGCACATTTCTCTGAGGACATGGTCTGACGGAGCAATTGAAAAAAACTCTTTTGTTTTCAGCGGTGGACCTACCATTGTTTATGGCTTTATTTGAAAGGACCACTGAAACTGTGTGCTTTCCACTGGACGTGCGAAAGAAGTAAGTGTCTGATAATCTTTTGACCACCTCAAGAGGAGGATTTAAACATGGATTTGTTGAGCATGTTAACAAAGGAGTAACTTCTTTGGCTATTAAGAGCCCCACACCCCCCCCTCCCCCTTCCCCACCCCCTCTCCCCACCCCGCTCCCCGCGCCCTTCCCACCTCCCCCACCCCCCTCCCCCACCCTCCCCTACGGCTCCATCTCGAGTAGTGGCGTGTCCTATCACAATGCAATGTGACGCAACTGCGTGTCTGCATATGTGCGCGTAACAAATGTGGTACTACGCACGACTGAAATTTTACGTTTATAATTGTAGCAACAGACCTCAGATGAGCCCAGACGCTCTGCGGCTCTTGTTATATGTAATGCCAGCAGTGTGCAATTGGTATATAATTTTAAACGCACGGTCAAGTGACGAATCATGCCAAGCTGTGTGAGAGTTACAATTTGAGATGTGCCTCTAATAATTTGACTTTTTGGGCACAGCTGGCTAATATATTTTTTTCTATAATTTTTTATCATCGACCTCTCTTGCAGATTGTGATATGCTTTGGGATAGCAATCGTGACACGACTCTACGTAGGCTATGGAGTCGTCTCGCTGTTAGTGGAAGTCAACAGTGTCTTTCTACACCTGCGACAGATGCTTCAGATAGCTAAGGTCGACCCAAAGTCAATGCTGTATCGATGCAACAGCCTCGTTAATCTAGGTAAGTGGGTGATATGTGTAATCTTTGCTATAGGTTCATGGAGAGTAACTTTGACCTATCTGCCTGGCGTAAGTAATGCGCAGTTGCAATTACTCATTGTCGATATCGGATGCTGTAAAGACGATGCTTGGTAACGAAGCGATGCGGAGTCGAAAGTTAGCTGCGCATGTGCAGTGAGACACATACAATCTGGTCTAGCTCAACTGTTCTAGCAGCGGTATTCAGCAGGGATCTCGTGGTTTTCACAGTCAAAGGAACGGGTCAGTCATAGTTGATTCGTGTCTATGGTCGCCCTACTACCGCCCATGTGTGCCAGTTGTTCACCTGTGATTATCAGTCTGTTCTTCCCCCGCAGGTACGTTCATGGTGTTCTGCATTATCCCTCTTTCATCTTGTTAATCCGTAACTACCACCTGTGTCTTCCCGTTTGTCATAACGGTCAATCTCTGAGTTTGTCGGTGATGCTCATACCGCTCCCGTGTGTGTTCTACCCTGACGCAGGTGCGTTCGTGCTGCTCTGGATTATCCCTTTTTTTCGGCTTGTTCGTTCGTAACTACCACCTAGGTGTTCTTGTTGTTCAGGTACGTTCGTGGTGTTCCGCATCGTTCTGCTCGCGTGGATGACTCGCTGGCTTGTCGTGAACCGCGACCGCATCCCGCTGCCCTTCTACACGATCGGCAGCATCAGCATGGCCGTCATGGTCGTCATGAACATCGTGCTCTTCTACCGCGTGCACCAGCGCGACTTCAGAAGACGCCGCAAGACATCGACATCGTGAGGTCACCGCGGTGACGCGAGATCGCCGTGGCGACGCACGTGAAGTACGACTTGACTTTTGGTCTTTATATATGTGGCCTTTTTGGGGTTTTTGTTCGCTGGTTGGGAGTTTGGCGATAGTGCTAGGTTGGTGCAGTCTGGTTGGGATAGGCCCATGTTTACGTGTCTGTACAGTAGGTCAGTACTGTGTATGTAGACATGTGATGGTGAAGAGGAAGAGGAGTATCACATGCTTGTGCAGCGGTAGAATTCAGGGGTCGCGGCAGAGGCAAGAATCAAAAATGGAAAATTTATGAGAAAGTGTTCAGGTTGTCACGTCGATATGTGTGTTTTTTGTGGAGTATTGCGAAACACACTGCGAGTGCCTGCGAATGCACGCTGAAACGCTACGATTTTCACGATGCATATCCTCTATATTCAACAGAAGTGTTTATTTTTCAACTGGGACACATTTTGCTACTGGAAAAATAGGATGTGCAGTCTGAGAAAGGAAGCAAGATTGTGATTCTTGACTCTCTCGCGGTTGCTAGATCCACCCGCTGCATAGGAGACGCGATATTGCTCTTCCTCCTCGGTATTACATTTATAAATGTGTTGGTCATGCAAAGACTAAAGCAACCTAGTAAATAGTAATTATTGCTGAACTCTTAACGACTTAGCAAAAGGTAAACACGAAAAAGCTATAACTTTAAAGAAGTTTTCTCCCCAGCACTTTAATGAAAGGCTGACATTTAAATCTGAAGCTAATTCTGGAACATCTCATAAATCCTCCAACATAACTTGATTTGCCTAATCGATATGCCTTAATTTGCCAGCTGTTTTGACTTTTGACAATTCCAACGCAGTCATTCTGTGTTTTCACAGCTTGATGTGTATGTATCTGAACTGATCGAGTTTACCTTTACAGGTCGTGTTGCGGTTGTGATTTTGAGATCTCAGATATGGCGATCGTAGGTAAATGACGCCTCGTCGAATACTATACACAGCCGCTCGCAGTAGTAATATACTGCATGCGAGCGTGATATATATACTTGTCTGTCAGTTTCGTGCTTTAGCACTGGCTAACATTCTAAACTCGTCCTCAATCTCAAATGGTGCTACCTCTGAACTCTACATTACTTTTTACACACTGCTGTGACGATTCGAACGGTTCGTAAAACTGTTTCGCGGTATTTTTGTATTAAAAGTCCGATGTTCCAGCTATTTTCAGTGCACTCACCTATAGTATTTTCATATTATCTATTGTCCGGCCAAGGTATCTCGAATGAATCTACGTTACTGCATGCTACGGCATTTTAGTCGCAGCAATTTACCCTTATTTTAAATTAAAGAGTTGGTTAACTGCTGCCTGGAGGCAGAATGTGACGTTAAAACGATGACATGTGGAAGTCACCTCCACAAAAGACGACACGATATTCACACAATCAGGATGCATGGGGTGTAATGTTGCCCGGGATTCTAGCTAACCTAATAGCAATAGAATATCTGCTAAATGAAACCTAATAGCCTATAGAATATCTGTTGAATGGAATATTACCATATTTTATAACCGAGTATTTTTTACTATTTTCTGAATCCGTGAGGATTGCGCGTGCCAATTGAGATTTTAAAATTGAATATATGCATTTTGTTGAATTTACACGACCACGTGCTACGCAAATGAGACGAGTAACGTAAGAATGGCAGTGATCATGTTATTGTGAAGCAGTATGGTTTCCGCAGTGAATGTGGAAGGACCTGCGATTGTACTTGTGATTAATGATAGTATGTCGCAGATTTATACTCCTGTCTGTACGCTTACCAGCCACTGATATTTACTGCAAAATTTATGCCAATGTTATGTTTACCGAAGTGTGAAACCTAGTCGCGTTACGTTTAGTTTCAGTTCGTGTAGATACGTCGGGAGACACCCGACTGTGTGTGTGTGTGGCTCGTGATCGTAAAGGTCGTAATGTTATAAGTCTTGCGTTCTGTTATTGTTCTTAACCCGCGGTCTCGTTTCGTGTTTGCGGTGAGCTTGAAGGAGATGTCAGACTTGTCTCTGTGTCTGATGCGGCGTAGCAACGAAGATAACAATAATGATTAACACAAATCCATGAATGAGTTTTCCACGCACAGTAATTTATTGTTGCTCACGATACACTCGTGAGCAAGAGTCCAGAAATGTATCAACACAACATATGCCTCTGTCCGTTTGTCCGTCCGTACGTCAGTCTCTGAGGTTGTCTGTCTGTCAGTCTTTTAGTCTGTCCGTCTGTCAACACCGTGAATATATGTGCTCGTACAAGGAGAGAACTCTCGAGCTTCCAAGGTGTGTTATATATATACAACTAGCCAGGTGACGTCATCTTATTGTACGCGCGCGTGGGACCATGCTACATACACGTGTACAGGTTCTTCCCTAAGAACGAGTTAACACGTGCAGAGGTTCTCCCCTAAGACCGAGTAACACATCTAGAAATCACGTCTCACTCACGTGTAGAAGACACACGTGTATTCGACGCTACTAGGTTACTCAAATGCGCACTTCCTGTCTTCTACGAAATCTGCCTTCACATATCCGGGTGTGCGTCTACGCAGTAGAATTAACATCCTGGGTGTTGGCTCCTTAGCTAGTCACATAATTAATTTTACCATGAACATTTTCTAATTAATTACTTCACTTCTCTATACAAATTAACTGGCCACTGTTACAAGTGTAAGGAGGGTTGGTTGACCTGGACGGATGCAGCAAGCCTAAGCGTTCGGTGTTATACTATGTTTGCTCATGCTACTTCATTTCAGGCTGTCTACACGTGTTTCTCACACTGCCTTTATTCTCATCGTCTGGACGTGATGCGGCCATGATGCCGAGGCGCGCCGAGGATTGACACTTTGTGTCTTCCAATCACAGCGTACGCCGCACCACTCCGTTATTATTTCAAAGGTGGGGACCCATCGACGTACGGAATCGCCGATCTCAAGAACTAGGGCATTCTGCTAGGCTAGAACGGTTTCCTATGATAGAGTTTGGCACAAAAACGAAAATAACACGCTGTTTAGCGGACTGCGCTACGTCCTTCTGTTGCATTTTCGCATCTCCGTAATCAGAATAAGCCCCGCCTTCTTCATTGATTGACACTGAATGGGGCGTCAACGACGTGACCAGTTACTGCGTGTAGGTGTTAGGCGACACTGTTTGCTTTTCGTAAATAATGAAAGGCCCGGCCGATGCATTTTGCATCGAAGTAGAAAAATTCGGCATTTTTACCTGCTTTCGGAAGTGAACGAGAGTGTCATTCATTGAACATTGAAGGTTTTCTTAAAATTAAAGAATTCCGAAAATCCCTCACCGCGCTACTCGATTGTTTTAGCCAATGAACGTAGCTGTGTGTATGACGTCTTGCCCGCGCGCTTTATGCTTGGCTTAGAGGGCCTCGAAATGGAGGCAGGCACCTGGCAAAACGCCTGTATCTTTACATATAGCTTTGTGACATCAGGATGGGTGGTGTCGGGAGTTCTGCGATGATAACCTCGTAATTTCTCAGAATTTCTCAAGGTGCATGAAACATTTTACCAATTTAGTGGTGTCAGTTAGTCACGGATATGTCACAGTAAGTACTAACCATAAATGTTTCACATACGTTTACCTATTTTGCACACAGTATATTGTTCTTATTTAGAAGCGGTGATACATTGTGAAAAATTGTGTGAATATTTATTTTATTGAGACGTTCCAAGTGCCTGTGCTTCAACAGTCTTGTACGTCAATGCACTGCGTCAGAGCCCACAAACTCAACACAATTCCATATCTTGTATTGTTTACCGCTGAATGCGTGATTGATCAGGGAGGGTGCATGTAAGAGGAGACATTTTCTTGGGTTCCGAAAAACACAATTCCACTTGACAATTTCATGGCCATTTCAATTGGAAGCTCTGCATAATGACCCCCAACAAGCCTTGGACTGACTAGTAAAAAATTGAAAAGGTGTGCATATTGCTCTTATTTAGCCGGCCGATAGTTCTTATTAGAACAAAGTCCTTTATTTTATCTTCTGAAACTACAGACCATCCGCTGACCGCTGGGAGACGGCACCGGGCCCTCAAATTTGGCGCACGTCTCCCCGCGGACAGCGCTTATACTAGAACATCCCCGCGGTCGCGTGCCATATCCGGCAGAACTGCGCGTCTCATCCGCGCGCAGCGCTCAGGATCCACAGCAAAGCTGTGCCACGCAATCTTGTATCATGTCTCTCTGGATCACATTCTGAAAGTTTTCTACTGTATGGTAGTTATTGTATGGTAGATCTCTCTTCTTTGGCTTCCAACAAAAGCACAACAGCTTTGCGGCACCGTCTTCCATCATCTATATAATCAAAGTCCCACGAGAAAAAAGGCAGTGTAAGAGACACGGACAAACATCCTCAAAAGAAATGGCATTGGCACACAAGGTGTACCATTATAGTTGGTTGCTGAACCGTTATAGCTGGTAGCTGAAGTTAAAGATGTATTCACGGTAACTATGTTAGTGTTACACACGCAAATATTTTTAAACAAACCGTATACAGCCGTTTTTAGAACGAATTGATTTATATACAAGCGATCGTGTGAATACGTGTGTGTATAACAGATACCGATATAGTATTATCTTAAGCTAATCAGGTTCCTGAGCAAATACTATACTCTACTATATACTATACTATAAACCTAACTCTATATACTATATCGATAATATACGTATACTATACTATACTATTACTATACTAAGTACTAAATATACTATACTATCACTTATACTATAATATATACAGCTATAGCTATAGCAACATAACTATACTCAGGGGGCGTAAATCGCGCTACCGAGGTAGTGGGGGGATGATACGCGAAGGCTGGGGTATAAAAATTTTTTGACAACTATGAACCCCACTCATATGCGTTTGTCTGCGCGAGCAGAAGGAGGCGGTCGGACCCCTGGGACCCTCCCCCCCCCGTACACGCCCCTGCAGTAATTGAGAATGATTTAGGTCTGGCCCATGTCTCCCAAATTATCATAATAGCTGACTTTCAAGTGGGGCACTGAGGAAGGAGTTTTTTTTTAATCTCAGGGGGATATTTTAGGCAAGGGCCATCCCCCCCTCCTTCAAGACGATGCACATTGAGGGGGAGCATTCCCCCCATCCCCGCCGGAATTTGACGCCCATGATCTATACTATACTATACTATAGCAGGCCCGAGCTACAGGGCGTGTTTGGGGAGTTCGCACGATATCCCCCCACCCCTCGAGCAAAATAAATAAATAATAATTTTTGGTGAATATAGCACTTCTCATGCTGTGGTGAAATCAGTTGAAGATAATGTAAGTAAAGCTTCGCGTAGGTATTGGGTAGATCCAGTCCTCCTTTCATGGCACTTTATTCTTCCCCAGGTGATTTTTTTGCTTTGCCTACTTTGCTCTAGAGTAGTAATAGTAATAAAGAGTATAAAATAGGGGAGGTAGAATAAAAATAAAATAAATTAGTCGTAAAAAAAAAAAAGAGGTTGTTATCCAGAGTATGCATACTTCCACTTGCGTTACATTTTCGTTTACACGAATAATGAATGTGTTGATTTTCGTAATTTGAAACTGGCTGGTCTTGAATGTTAATGACATAATTGGACAATATTCTGAATAGCAGAGACACATTAAAATCCGAGCCAATGTTAGATTTTGCCGCCATTGTTTGAATTTTCTATTTGATTTGAAAGTATTGTGTAACAATATTGGGACCGTGAGTTGTAAAAAGCTGTATGAGGTACTCGATGTAACATAACAAGTTGCGTCAATATTATTGTGTGACTGTAGTTGGTATCTTGCCTTGTTCATAGAGTAGCCATAAAGAAGGAAACAAGGAATTGTTGATCTATTATATTGAAAGAATGTGCCGATATATATTTTTTGCTTACCATATTTCTGTTGTAAAGTGAATCTCTGATGACATATTTGTGAACACAAACATATCAGGATTATATATCTATTTCATACTTCAAATTTTTAACGCAGTTGCAATCTGAATGTTACATCTATAATTAGCAGACAGTTTTCTCTTTTAAGTTTAATTTTTTTGTAAAAATTAATAGGAGTAATAATATCATATCTTCTCATCTGAAATGTAACAATGAACATATGAAAATATTAAATGCAAGAAAAGCTGATTTAATGAATTGATGATTTTATTTTTTAACTTCTTTTAGATTAATTGATTAAGTGTGATGTGTCTTTCTTAATTTGCAAGAAAGTTTGATCTAAACAAATGCTTTTTTTCCCCTCTCCCTGAAACATAGAGAGGAGAATAATATTAAATTTTTTGGGGGCTTCCTGAACCTCCAAGATAAAATAAGCATGCTTTTTCATGGTATGAAGGTATCCCCCCACGTCAATCAAATTCGCCCTGTCTGAGTGAGTGCTTCGGCACTTCTCGTTAGCCCTACAAACGATTTTTTTATTATTGTGTTTCCCACCCCTTCAACAAACGAAAAATAGTGACACTGTGAAGATGGCAGTTATTTTCTTCTGAAAGTGTTTTTCAATAGTACTTTGCTCTCTTGCAATTCGTTTACATTCTTTATTCCTATTAATTCATATTTATGCAAATTACTTTACCATATAGTCGAAGACCATTTTCACTTGAATAGGTGTTTTTTTATTTTTTTTTATTTGAAATGATGCACCAGATCGCTCCATTTTAGTGTAATAATTGCAAAATCTTCATCATGCGGGAGGGGGGGGACCCCCTCCCACACCCTCCCCGATAGAGAAAAAAAAATCGATAGACTTACTGTAATGATTATTATGTGTCCCTCGCTGACATACACTAATAAAATTTAAATTACCCAGTAAATGGCGATGTGTACCCCACGTGATATATGCTAGCTGCATGTCGAAATGAGTAGGCCCCTACAATAGACTTTTTAAAATTAACATAATAATTTAGAGAGAACATA